CAAGACTGGAGAACAACAGTCATAAGTCTGAGACCTTCTATTCTAATTTTTTAAACAAATATGTAAACCAGAGTACTATGATTGTCAGACAGTTGGACTAGGATTTAGGAAATTCAGATTTTAATTCATATACTGCATGAACCTTTCAGGGTGCCCCAGGGCCAGCAGCAACACCCTCTCAGTGAAACCTACCTTGCAGGGTGGTTGAGAGCATAAAATAGCGGAAGAAGAATCATGTACACCACCCTGATTTCCTTGGAGAAAGGGTGAGATAAAAGTGCTCTAGACAAATAAATAAAAACATAACACCCATTTTAAAAATATGCTGTAATGAAATCAAAATTATTCTGTGCCTGTTTCAGGCTGCCATTTAAGAAGAAGAGGTGATTGGATTTATACCCCACCCTTCACTACCCAAAGGAGTCTCAGAGCAGCTTACAGTCTCCTTTCCATTCCCCTCCCCACAACAGGTACCCTGTGAGATAGGTGGGACTGAGAGAGCTCTTTCAAGAAATGCTGGTGAGAGAACAGCTCTGAAACAACTTGTAACTGGTTTCAGGTCACACCACCAGCCGCATGTGAAGAAGTGGGGAATCAAACTCGGATCTCCCAGACTAGAGTCCGCGCTCCTAACCACTATACCAACCTGGCTAGACCAATAGGTAAAGTTCTGCAGAATTCTAGAATGTAATTTGACATAGATTTTTATTAATTTCTAGGCCAAAATATACATGGGACACCAGTGCAAGGTGGCACTTACAGCAGGAGCTTCAATCGCTGCTGTTTCAGACTAGGAAGAATTGGGGCAAGGGATCGGCTATGGCACATCAATTCTGCCTGCCATGTGAAAGATACATCTGGGTTCCACTGTAACCTGAGCTTCTGCTCATCACCCATAATTACTTCAGTCTTACATAAATTCAGCTAGATCACATATAAGCCATAATCATCAGACGTGAAAGAACTAAAGATGGGTCTCATCAACATACAAATGACACCAGAACTCCATAAGGTTTCATGTACACATCAAGAAGAGTGTGGACAAGATTGGATTTATATACTGCAATCTTCTCCCCAATGGGGATCTAGAGTGGCTTACAACATTACCCCCTTTTCAATTTTAGCCTAACAACAACACTGAGATAAGTTAGGCAGTCGCTGGCCTAAGTGAGCATCCATAGCAAAGTAAGAATTTGAACATGGGTTTTCCACATCCTAGTCTGACACTCAAACCACTATACCACACTGGCTCTGCAGGAATATACACAGGAAAGAAGATTAGCTGTATTTATACCCCACCCATCACTCAGAGTCTAAGAGCAACTTACAATCTCCTTCCCTTCCTCTCCCTACAACAGACGCCCTGTGAGGTACGTAGGGCTGAGAAAGCTCTGAGAGAACAGCTCTGAGAGAACTGTGGCTAACCCAAGGTGACCCAGTTGACTGCATGTAGAGGAGTGGGGAATCAAACACGATTCTCCAGATTAGAGTCTGCCCCTCTTAACCACTACACCAAACTGGCTCTGTTTGTGTGTATAGATTCGGCTTGGCCATCATTACCTTCTGTCCCTTCTTGAACCACACTAGAGCAGTTGCATTTAATGGGAGGTGATTCTACACCCATCACATCTTGTGCAACTGCACGCATAGTTATAAAGCTGATTTCAGAAGACATCAGTAACAGTTTACAGTTTTCCCATTCTTTCTCTATCACACTCTCCATTTCCCCAGAATGCAATTTGTTGTGATTTCTTTCAATTGTTGTTCAACAGAACTGCAATTTCTGCAGTGTAGATAGCCTTTGCACTACTATTTCACCACACACTTTTGGTGATGTCTCCTTTGATGCAACCTGAACATTAAGTAAATAACTGCCCCCACATTCCAGTTGATCCTCCATGTTCATTGCCCTTTTATGCCTTACCTTACACCAATAGCTGCAAAAAATTATTCACTGGCACTATAGCAACATTAAGAAAGAGCAGTACTTCTCATCTTACCTGCAATCTTGATCAGCTGAAACTGAGATGTAGCCTTGGTGGGTATATACAGTGCTAGGCAAATCTGGGAGACCCAGGTTTGAATCCTCATTCTGTTGTGGGAGCTCACAGGGTGACTTTGGGCCAGTCATTACCTCTCAGCCCCACCTACCTCACAAAGTTGCTATTATGGGGATAAACTGGAGGAAGGGGAAACTGTGTTGTAAGCCGCTTTGGGTCTCCACTGGGGGGGGGGGATAGGGTATAAATATCTAGATAAATAAATAAATAAGTGGGGTGGATTCACATATCGCTCCCTAGGAACTGGATGCAGGATTAGTGGATTTGGTGCTTAACAACAGTGTGGAGATTGGAAGTGCTGATATGTTTCCATATATAATAGTGCAAACCAGCTCACCTAAAATTTTTTTTTTAAATATATACCTCCACTGACATTGGTGAACAAGAAGAAGAGAAGAGATTGGATTTATGCCCTGCCCTTCACTACCCAAAGGAGCCTCAGAGCGGCTTACAAACTCCTTCCCCTTCCCCTCCCCACAACAGACACCCTGTGAGGTAGGTGGGGCTGAGAGAGCTCTGACAGAAACTGCTCTTTTTCAAGAACACCTCTGACAGAACTATGGCTTGCCCAAGGTCATCCAGCAGGTACAAGTAGAGGAGTGGGGAATCAAACTTGGTTCTCCCAGAGTAGAGTCACTTAACCACTACACCAAACAATAGGAGGGGATGAGAACAGAGGCACCTCTTTTGCAGACAAGAGTGAATGATTTGCATAGCTCAATATCCACTGGCATGTGAATCCTCTTTTGTAATTCCACACGTAGCTAATGCTAGAATGGTATTGACTGGTTTGTAGAGAATAGCCGCAGCATGGAAACAACTTGCATGGTGTCAAAAATTACAAAAAGGTCTGATATGATCAATACCAGGATATAGGATGTTTTAGATTTGCATACACTGACATAAAACAAGTACGAATCCATTTTCCCCCTAAGTTCGGCCAGCAATCATAAATAATAGACACTATGGATGCCCCTATGATTATTTAGTGCAATGTTTAAAAACATGGGTGCTGTCATTTGTGCAAAAAGAGAAAAGATCCCATCAACATGCACAAATATAGCAAGATGCTACAGACAGAAAACCATCAGAGAATACAACCTCACACTGAGATGTTACTTGAAGTTAGAGTCCAAATTTGACATAGTATGGAGGAGATACAAAAGGATGTACCAGCTGTCCACTCTGGTTATACCATGTTTCTTTCTTTCTTCCTTATTTTTATCACCTTTACTTTCATCTGACCTCCTATACCTGGTTTTGCTAGCTTAGCATCCTCAAGTCAACAAGTACATGAAAAACTGAGCACAAGAAGAATGCACTCGTGTTCTAGACTTCAACTTTTTTATATTTCTGTATACATTCTTTCACTAATTGATGTTAGTAGGGTTCCTTCTGCATTGAGAAAACTAATAAAATTAATAAAGGGAGTGGGAGGAAGGGCCAAAAGGAAAAAGAAGGAGAAAAGCTATATCAAAGGTCTTTAGCCAGGCTTGAATTTGTTGTTAATATTCAAACTTGCCCCACTTAGCCCACACAGACCTTGTTACTTTGACAACTATAATGCTTTGTCCACTAAACAAAAGTGTTATAATAGCAGCCTATGGATATGCAGACAGTGCTTCATACTCCACTGAATTCAGCAAACCAGAAGTCCACATACAAACAATGGATGAAGTCGTTATTTAAGATTCTACTGTATAATGAACTAAAAGGCTGATAGACTGGAAAAGTTATTTAAAAATTTACCATATATATGAGAATATCCTTATATTTCATGTTGAAGAAGAATAGTGACCACATAGTGACTAATGCAGAACAGAATTCCCAGTATCTGGCATGCACTGGAAAGTAAGCGGAGAAGAGGGAGCATCAACCATTTTGCGACTCTTTAACTACCCTGATTGCAAGTATAAATAAAAGAACTAAAGAGTGTTCAGTAATTTCTAATCCCCCATTAGGCAATACTAGATACAGTCACAATGTTTCAGAGAGGTGACAGTTAAAGGGTTAAACTCTGAGCTGGAGTCCTTCACGTATCCAACACCTCAGTTTAGGATGGAAGTAATAAGTTCAGCGTGTCTTCACTCTTTAAACATCAAAAGACCATATGGCTTCAAAAAGAACACAGACATTTTAAGGAAACATCCTGCAGAAGAAGAAATGCCTAAGAATTCGAGGCAGGAACTTAAACCCAAAACTCCAAACCTCACATTTACTTTTCTTAGTGGTTAGAAACTACCACAATGACTTAGCAGCCGGCGGAGGAATCTTGTTTACTTTGCAACAAATTTTAACTTGCAATTCAAACAAGGCGATAAGGAGTAGACTGCATTAAAGCTCAGTCCTACGCAGGCTTTGTTAGCAGCCCCATCAGGCTCAACGGGGCTTATTTACTCCCAAGTAAGCATGTCTAACATTTCAGCTGATCGAGAAACCTGCACCTCAGAATCACCGCCACCGAGAAGCCGTCCGCATTTCACGACCAAGTAACGCCGTCCAGATTTAAAAGCCAGAGACGTGTCTGCACTGACTTGGAGGGAAGGAACGACAAAAAAAGTTCCTTGTCTGCAGTCTTTTCATCCTTCAAACGAAATGCTCAACCAGCAAGTTTTTTTTTAAGGGAGAAACATTTCTCATATACAAAAGTTATTAAAAAATGACACAGCAAGCAATACCGTGCAAGAAACTTGAAGGGGGGGAGGAGGAGGCAAGGATAAGAGTTGGACATTCAGCAGAGTTGGATTTTGGGTGTGTGTGTGTGTGTGTGTGTGTGTGCGTGCAACGGATGGATGTCTGGAAAAGCAATCTCGCTGGCTTGCTTAAGGAACGATGCGTCCCAAAAGAGGGTTTTGAAGGAGAATTCAGAACAGCCAAAGAGACAAGAAGCAATGGCCCCTTTTCACAACTGCCTCTTTCCCGATCCCCATCCCCAATTACCTGGCCCAGGAGAAACCCCCCAGGTTGCTGCTGCTGCTGCTGCCGACGCCACCCCCGCGGAACTTCTCGCCTAGCAGCCAGCTCGACTTCACCCACAGGGGGCTTCCCGCCCTCGTTGCCGCCGCCGCCGCCGCCGCTTTCCAGCTAGCCGCCTGCTGGTGCCTCTTCTTCTTCTTCTTCCCAAGGCGAAGGACTCCAGTGGGTTTACTTTGCCGCGGGGCAGCCGCAGCGGGGAGGCGGCGTAAGCACCATCCTCTGCCCCGGCGGCGCTTTTGGGAGGGCGAGAAAGGGGGAAGGCAGACTCGCTTCTCGGAGGAGCCTGCAGCAGCCTCCGCGGCTGCAGCGGCGTTCATGGACAGCGGGGAGAAAGGGAGGAAAGGTGCCGGTGCCGGGGACGCTGCCACCACTAGCCGCCGCCGGGCCGGCTGCGAGTGCGTGTGTGGGTCGGTGGGTGGGGTGACGGCTCCGAGCTCCCTCCTCCGCTCCCCCTGGCCTCTGGCCACCGCTTCCAAGTGGGTTCCTTCCCGCTTCCAGGCAGCCGCCGCGGCCAGACTCTGCTTCTCCCGTTAAGTTGGCGCCTTTTCTCACCTGCCGGCTGCTGCCACACACAACAGGCACACAGACGGCCCTCCCTTGCGCGGAGCCGCTTTGCTTTCGCGCCTTTCCTCACCAGCGCCTCAAGTTTCCTCACAGAGCATTATCTGTCTAACTCTCTTTCCC